CCATAATGTTGAAGATCAGTAAGAAGCAAACTTGGCAATATATGTGGAACAGACCATTAAGTCCTCAGTTAAAGGGCAAGGAAGTGATAAAATAAACTAATGCTGATTTGATCCATACCAAGCAAGGATTTTGTGGTTAACTGAAATTAAACGTATAGCTGCAGTGTGATGACTGGCTGAAGTCACAGGAAAGTTTGTACTTTGACTGTTATTAAAATGTTAAAATAATTGTTATTTCTGATATGAAGTAACTAATAATGACAAGAAAATAAATGTGCTAGACATCAAAGATTTGATATGAAATACAACTTGTAAGTGATAAATGTAATTTAGGTCACTGAACATTTTTTGTAAGCAATCTAGGTTCTTTGTGACTACCATGGTAATGTTTCGAATAATTGGTATTGAAGATATTAAACCGGTTTTATCGTCGAGTATGTTGTACATCAGCCATATCAAATATCTGATATATGATTTGTATTTTCTTATTCAGGAAGTCCATCTTTCTAGCTATATACATTAGCCATGCCTCCCTTATCAAATGAGTGACCAAGACATAACAATCCTCATGAATTTCTCCACTCCTTGAGCTCTTACTTACACATACGTACATGTTAGCACGTATGGGACAGACCATAAATATGCTCTTCTCTTCACTCACCTTCTTTCAGCATAAAGGCAAGAGAGTTAGTGTTGATTTTCCACTCCTGTCATAAACCTGTGCTCCTTTCCAACCATGTAATGTCATTTGAAATATTGAGATTATTAGATTTCTATACATTTGCTAAATTAAATCTCGATCATACACATTTTCCTTTTTTTATAACAAAAAAAAAAAACAAAAAAAACAAAAAATGAAATTCACTGCAGCCCAAAAGGAGCACATATACTACTATGTACTATCATAATAAATACCCTTTATTTATAATAATGCACATAATTGAATTCTTGATATTTTCTTTATTAGGATCTTCAAAGTTTTGGTTTCATTTTACACTAAATTGCTCATCATAATGAGGCTCAATTTTATAAAACAGACCAAAACGTTTCTCATGATTAGAAAATCCACATCAACATTACAAACACAGAAGCGACAAAGGTTATTAATACATCCTTCAATGTTATTTTTTATTGTATGGAAATCTTTTTTTTGGAAAAAATATGCATATGATGTGAAAGTATCATCATATCCCAGCTGATATTATTTAAACATCAAAAATAAAATGCAATTTCTAGCACTCAAAAAAGAAAAAAAAGTCTTTGAAGGGAACCATCTGTTAACCAGGCTACTTAAAAAGATGGGAAAAAATATATATACAATAAAATAGATAAATAAATTGTAGAAATCTATAAAAAGAAAATTCAGATTTTAATTCAACGCTGCCAGTATAACCGTCATATGCTGAAAAATGAAAAAGGGCCTGTCTATAATTGGTGGGACGCATGTAATATTCCCATAACCTTGACAAAAAAAACACAAAAAATGAAATACTAATAAAAGAAGTCTTTCAGCATTCACAATCACCAGAGTTTCTTTAAATGCCTAGCAAAAACACTCAACTGACTCCTTTGCATTACAATTCACAGATGGTCCCCTTAACAACACCAAGCACATGATAGACAGTATTTCAACTTTTATCATTCGAGAGATTTGAACACTTGCAAATACTAACATTTGCACATCTTTATACACAATGTGGCACATGACTGCAATATTTCTTTGCAGTCTTGGCAAGATTTCTCATGGCCTCACAATCATACCCAGTAATTTTACATATTTTGTTATAAGTAGATAAATTTCACTCCAAAATTTTGTCTCCCATTATTATCTGTTTTCCTGCACATTTCTCTAAGTAAAATGTTTCATTCCACCTTTCCACACATTCCCAGCAATAATTGTCATTTACAGAATGCTGTGTACACTTCAGCATCAGCATCCTTACAATACACTGAAACCAAGTCCACAGCATCTACATAATTACAATAATCCTGTGTAACATCCATCCATCCCATTAGAAATTTTTCCTGTAATATTGGCTGGACTGAGCTGAAGGTGGGGGAGGGTGGTGAAGAGGGGGCCCAGGGGGATGTGAAGGAGGTGTCTGTGGTGGAGGAGTAGACCACTGCGCGGTGGAGTACTGCCCGTCATACTGAGATCTGTTGACGTAAGTGGTTGGGGGAGGAACAGCAGGTGTCACATTTGAGTATGGTGGAGGTGGCACATTGGGGTTGGGGGGTGGGGGGCAGCTGGGTTTGGAGGGTATGTATACTGTGGGGGCTGAGTACTATAAGCTGTGCTAAAGGAAGAGGAGTAAGGTGGGGGTTGGGGGTGGGAAGGGGGAGGCTGAGAGTGAGCTGGGGGTGGACTGGTGAAGGAGTGAGTTGGGGGAGGATGCGTAGGGGGCATGTGAGGTGGGGGGTGTGGTGGTGTTGGATGTGATGGCCCAGAATGTTGGAAGGAGGAGTGTGACGAGTGTTCTGGCTGGTCCTGTAGTGGGACGGTGATGAGATTGGTTCTGGCTGTTGTCATTACAGGAATCACTGAAATATGATGAGAGGATGCCTGGTGGTTGCCTGCCGTTTGGTGAGACTGCCCGTGATTAGAACCAAACTGCCCTGAACCCTGCCGGGAGAACTGAGAGCTGGAATAGGAGTCCCTGTGTTCGTAGCCTTCCTTGCTCACCCTGGGATCTGACATAGCCCTTGGGTCTTGTCTGATGTCTCCCCTCGGATCAGTTCTCGTGTCCCTGCCTTCTCCCCTTGGGTCTCTGTGGCTCAAACGCTCTTCTTTCATCTCCTCCTTTGGCAGACCTGTTGCCCCAGGCACTTTCATGTGCCGGTGGTCTATGTGAGCCTGGTAAAAAATTAGTCATCAGTTAGACACAGGAACTTTTTATCTACATGAATTCTTTCTCTGAAAACCACAGATCATTTAAATATCATATCAAACACCCCCTCCTTATTAACAACAGTAATATCAAAAATTCAACCAGCAGCAACAACAAAAGACCTTTCATGGTGCTTACTTAATCATCAAAACAAAAGAATAATAATCACACAAGGAATCGAAAGCTGCTCACCTGGAGATCCCTCTGAGATAAGTATGTGCGTTTGCAAACAGTTTTATTTATATTGTAGTTGCACATGAATACCGTTCCAAGGCCTATCTGCTCCACTCTGGCCACACGCTCTCCACATCTCGCACACACACGGTCTTCCCCACGGGCACACCAAAGGCAAAATACGTGCTTACAGGGTATCTGTAAATGGCAAAGCTGTCAGTAAACATAACCCCCAACAGTAGATACATGTGAAATCTAAAAAAATACCATTGTCATTAAAAACACCAATTATTCCAATAAAAATACCCAGGAATGTGGAATTCTTTAATTCACATTATGTGAAGCAAGAGAATATGCGAAAAAGAACTCACCATTCTTCCGTAGATGAGGATAGGCTTATTGCAGGTGTCGCAGATATGGATCCGTGGGGACAAGACCTTCTCGCCAATGAGGTTGACAGGATGGTCCCAGGACAGCCGAAGCATGGGGGCAGGAGGTCCTCTGTCCAGCGTGGTGAAGGTTGGAGCCTCAAGCGATGATATGTCACAATCTTGGTCATCTGGGACGGGAAGTGTAAATGGATTAGATTTTGAAAAAGTGACGACAAGTGTAATATTTTTTGCTGATTTCAATGCTCTGGTAAAATTTTTCATTCAATATTTGAAAATTAATCAAAATGACAAAACTGTTCTCAGAGATGCATCCAGATTATGAAAACATGCTAAACTATGTGTGCTTAAAATACTGAAAGGCCTAAATTCTGGGGCACTCACAAACATGATAGCATATACCACGTGGAGGCAACCAGCAAACTTATTTTAATGCCATATCAGCACGATAAAGTCTTGGTTGTGGAACTGACACCAATTTGCATCATAATACATAACCTTTGTGCTATTTTGCGGCAAAAACTCCTGCTTAAGCATCATGCCTCACCACTGTGAAGTGTGCATGGCAGATGGGCTATAAACTGTCATTGGACTGAGATTATGATGGCATGGCATATGTGTTTTCAATGGGATGGGTAAGCTTGGCATGGCATGACAAACATATCACCAAGAGGCAATGGTTAAGTGGTCCCTCCTCCCCCAGTACACCTACACTCCTTTTGTTGTATTCCATTATATTCAACATAAGAAATTGCAATTTTAATGATATTTTCCATTATGCCTTGTGAGAGTACCTGGCATAATTTTACTAGTCTCATGTGCATTGAAGAACATGGCAGAGCACCTATTCCATAGATACACATCTTTATCCTGAATATATCAGAAATGATACAAAGAACATGATTGGACATGTTATTCATATAATTTTGGATGTTAGTGGCTCTCTAGTATAGCCTAATGATTATTAGAAATGGAAATGGAAATGGAAAAAAAAAAAAAAAATCATGGTCCATTTAAAAAAAATAAAGTTTCACTTTAATTTTCTCAAACTACACTTTTGGGCGATGCCTCTGATTGCTTGAAGCTGTATTTGCATGAAGGAACAGAGATTAAACTGTACCAAAATAACTTTTTTGACAAGAGGAAAATGCAGGTAATAGTAATGTGATTCTAAGACTCTGTCACATGCAAATTATACATCATAAATCCTGGTGAAATTGATTGAAAAAAGTAACACATCTCAAAAATCAGCTTTTTGAATAACATATTTCACAGTACACAAAAATCAAGGGGGGACAGCACCATACCACACACTATGTTCACATGTATCTAATATCTACCCACAAATTGATTTTTTAAAATAAACAAATGGATATCCCCCATTAAAAAAGGTGAAATTCCATGCATAAAACTTTGTTCAACCTTACACTGTTTCGCTTTGGGAGGTTCATTCTCATCTACAGGCGGAGGAGCTGGTTCTTCTTCCTCTTCCTCACTCTCTATCTGAAATGGGAATAGTAATAAAACAGCTAGTAATTATAGTGTTATA